TCCTTAATAATTAGGATAATTCAAAATAAAACTATAAAAGCTACATCCAACAAAATGACTAAAATTTAAAAGACTAATAATACCAAGTTTTGATTAGAATGTATAGCATCTAAAACTCTTAAATGTAGCTGGCAGAAAAGTAAATTGGTACATCCACTTTGAAAACCAGTTTGGCTTTATCTAGTCTATTTGAGGATATGCATACTCTATGATTCAGTAATCCTACTTTTAGGTATATATGCAACAAAAATAAGTGTACGGACCTACCAAGAGACATGCATTTGAATGTTCATAGTACAATTTTCATAATAGCCTCAAACTGGAAATAACTCAAATGTCCATCAATAGTCAACTGGATAAATAAATTCTAGTATATTTATACACTGACATTCTATAAGGCAATGAAAATGAATGTATTCTATCTAAGTTCAAAGACATGTATGCATCTCATAAAGGTAATATTAAGCAAAAGAAATCAGATATATGAAGAAAAATACTGTAGAATTCCATTTTTATAAAGTCAAGAAAAAAAGAGAGGAAATTAAATTATAGGTTTAGAAATCAGGATAGGGGTATCTTAGGGTAGGAGAGAGAGGATAGTATAATAATTGGGAGGAGCCCAAGGAGATCTTCTGGGGGTTGCTGGCAATGTTCAGTTCCTTGATCGGAGTAGTAGTTTTATGGTATTGAAAGACTCAATACTGCAAGATCTAATTTCTCCTCAAATAGATCTGTAGATTCAATGCAATCCTAATAGGATGTTTTCCCCCTTTTGCAATACTTGAGAAGCCAATTCTAAAATACATATGAAAGTACAAAGGGACAAGAATAGCAAAAACTCTTGAAGAAAAACAAGGTGAGAAGACTTACTTTACTAGATATCAAGATGTGGTCATTCATTGAGCTGACACTTCTACGTTGTATACTTTTAGTACATATGTCATACTTTACAGTAAAAAGAGGGATGCTTACAACATGAACTAGAGGAGTAAGTTAGGCACCACTGTAAATGCAAGGGTAGAGGTTGCTCTTGGGTCTCAGTGGTGGTCATTGCCTGTGTAATAAACCCTTCAGGCCACTTAGAGGAGAGCAGAAATAAGAGCTCTGTCCAAGAGTTCATCTCTGGTTATCAGAAATGCATTTATTGTCATCTGATGCAATTTTCCAAGGTGCCAATCAAAGCTTTCTTTGCCTTTTCATCCATTACTCCAGAATTTTCCTTTTCTACACCCTGATGGCCAGATTCTGGCCTATACATCACCTAGAGTTGTCTTAATGCCTGAAAAACTGTATCTTCATAGCTAACCATAATCCCTTTATCCTCCCTCTTACTTCCAACATCTGCTCTTCAACTTCATCATGACGCTAGTGTTTTCATCCCTCTTCTGTCTCAGTCCAACCATTACTCCATCACAGGTTTGCTTTCTTTCATTCCAGCCTGTGGTATCATCTTCCATCCCTTCACCCAGAGTCTCTAGCCAGAGTCCTAAAGATCCTCCTTCCTGGTCTCTTTGGCACTTTGCAGACATCTGAACTTGGCTCAGACCAACATAGCACACCATAGCTTTTCTAAACCTTTCCCTCGCTCCTCAAGTCCACACCCTTTTCTCTAGAGGAGAGAGTCAGATGACATGAAACTGCAGATCTTAGAATGCCATGGCTGAAAGGAATCACACGTCATGGCTTTCTAGTTTCCTCATTTTTTTCCTATGAAGAAACAGAGGACCAGAAGATTACCCAGTATTTCCCGTTATTTCTTTAACAAATAGTCCCATCTGACACTGAAGTTTAATGCCCTTTTAGAGAGCTCTTATTCTTGACTTCTGCTTCTCTAATTTCCCCTGCTCCAGAACCCATGTAGAACCATGAATATCAGACATGCAATTCAAGGGAAACATGACAGGTCCACCCCAGGCAAAGAAAGTATAGAACTTACACCTGGTTTCTGGACTTGGGCATAGACAGTAAGGCTTTTCGTTTCCACTGTTGGCTGCTGATGGTCTGCTTTACCTAGGGAAAAGAAACCATCCTGGTTATTTCTCTCTGGTCCGCAGCATGAATTCATAAAAACCTGTCTGGTTTTTAACCCCAGTGCATATTGATCTTCCCTAAGAGTACCATAGGAACAAAGCACTGAGTCCCAAACCCTCTGCATTTCTCATACAACATTAGGTTAGTTATTGATCTCTCTGTGCCTATTTTCCTATCTGTGAAATGGGGTTGAAATACCTGCCTCACAGGGCTGTTGTGATGATTACATGAGATATTACTTATAAAGTGTTTAGAATAGTGCCTGGCACATAGTAAATTCCAAATACATGTTAGGTGTAATTGGTATGCCATTCAATTATTTTAATCTCTATTTTTTTATTGTGTATCTGGTCTTCTAATAGGATTCTAAGTTCTTTAAGGGCAGAGCAAGTTATTTATACCACTTTTGTACTCAGTTTTCTCACCTCTCTGTTTCAATGGGACTTGGTGTGTGTGAAGTGGGGAGGGGACATAAGAAGGATGATCCACTTGAAACTATTTTAAAACTTAAAGCTATTATGTCATTCTAGTGCCTACCACCTGGAAAGTTTGCTCAGAGCCTAAGGTCTCTGGAAAGTAATAAGTTGCAGAACATTTTAGTTTTTAACCAATTTTATAATTTTTCTTTTTAAATTATAGAAATAATTCATTCTTGTTAAAAAATTTTAAATTATATAGAGTAAAAAGTATGCCCCTCTCCTCCACTAACCAATGCAATTCATTTTCATAAGTAATCTCTTTTAACAGTTTGATATATATCCTTCCAGACCAGCTCTGCGCAATAGAACTTTCTGCAGTGATGGAAATGTCCTGTGTCTATAGTCTAATATGGTAGCCACAAGCCACAGGTGGCTATTGAGCACTGAACTGTGTTAATGCATCTGAGGAATTGAATTTTAAATTTGATTTATTCTAATCAATTTAAATTTAAAAAGCTATATGTGGCTAGTGACTACCATATGAGAGTGCAATCCTGGACATTTGCTGTACTTGTACCAATATTTTAATGTAAATTGTAATGTAAATTTAAAAATATATATATTTTTATTGGAGATTATTGGGGAACACTGTGTTTCTCCAGGACCCATCAGCTCCAAGTAAAGTAGTTGTTTCAGTCTAGTTGTGGAGGGTAGACCTCAGCGGCCCATGTGGGAATTGAACTGGCAACCTTGGTGTTATAAGCACTGCGCCCTGCATTGTAACCACCTGAGCAACCCGCCATCCCTAATGTAAATTTTTTATACACATGTCTCCATAACTTGATCTTTTCACTTACAATGTGTTGAGGACATTTTCCATGTATCTTATTCTTTCTAATGTTTCATGGTATTCTTTGTTGCATCATGTAGCAGTGAGAAGGGTAGAGGGAAAGTAACAGGCTAAAAAATAGAAGCTTATTTGGGGACTATTATAAAATCCAGGCAGAAGCAATGGAGACCCAATTCAAATCACACAAAGTCTTTAGAGTGCACTTATTTTAACACCAATGAATGCATCCTCTTAAAAAACTTAGAAGCATATCTCCAATGGAATAGCACTTAAGAGAGGTATATTTTTCTTTGAAAGGGAAGGCCTAGTATGTATGTATGTATGTATGTATGTATGTGTGTATGTATGTATGTATGTATGTGATGAGGGTAGTGGACTATGTGGCATGAGGGTGTGATTCTTGGGGAGGAAATGATGGGCAGCCACTGGGGAACCTCAAAGAGTGTCAATGTATGATTTTCTTGTGTGTGGGTGTAGGCCTGGAGGGCTTGGTGTTCCAACTTCACTTTTTTGGTTAAGGTTGATACTGGCCGAGGAGTGTGTGTATAGAACAGAGGATAGGGGTTAGGCTGATGAGAGGAGGTAACAGAGGAGGTGCAAGTTAGTTCTGTGAAATATATATTTTCAGTTCAAACCCACGAGTGTTTGCAAAGTTAGAAGCACTGACCCAGCGTTGTCCTAGGTGCTGTAGGGGAACAAACAGAGAACAGACCCCATTCTTTAAGAATTTCCAGTCTTACAGGTCAGCTCAGGCTGAAATTAGAATTGGGACAGACCTAAATGGTCACACAGACGGAAAAAGTAAGGCTAAATGTTGCTTCTCAAAAAGGCCACTAGTTCAAGATCATTTAAACTCATTATTTTGTTCCCAGTACAAGAACAGGTTTTCAGGAGCCAGCTCAATGCATCTCAAAGTTAGTGAGGCCTTCTGGTCTAATGAAAAAGTTCTTATAATTAGGACATCTATATTCTAGCCTTCATTAGCTGTGTGGCATTGGACAAAACTTGTCATCTAAATGGGTTCTTCGCGTACCATAACTCTACAGTGAAGATGTAGATTATCCAATGTCCTTTTCAACTCTCACCTGAAATATGAAGTGGTTATATTATGATTTCAACTATTTTAAATCTCTAAAATTAGGCACTGTCCCAGATGCATCTGGTGCTGTCCTTTGCTGGCCATTGGACTTAAACATTGCTGTTTTAACTCACCTACATTAAGAGGGGTGTGTGTGTGTGTGTGTGAGTGTGTGTGTGTGTGTGTGTGTGTGTGTGTGTGTGTCTAACTACCATCTATCCACGGAAGCTGCTGTGTTATGATTTCTGTGTATGGACTCACAGATCCCCCACAACAATACTACGAAGTATATAATATCCTCATTTTGCAGAGAAGAGGTTAAGTCATTTGTTTGGTCATACAGCTTGTCAGTGGCAAAGTCCGCATTTGAAAAGTGTCTGTCTAATGTCAAAGCTCATGTTCTTCACCAGTGTATTCTGGATATGAAATTGCCAGGGTCCATTTGAAAACCTTGAGTTTGGTTGCATTCTGGAGATGGCAGCATTAGAAACTGCCAACAGAATCTTTTGAATGGAGTCAGCAATTGAGGATAGGTTTTTCCAGAGGTTTGAGGCAGGGTTTTTTTGTGCCTGGCTTACGAGGAATACATGGTGACTGGAGAGGAGGATGGATATGTGTGTTGGGGAAGGTGGTAAGGGATTGTAGTGGGATGGGGAGTACTAGTCCCTTCAGAGCACAACCGCATGATGAACAGAATGTAGCTGAGGAAAAAATGTGGGCGAGGATTTCAGCACTTTTCACTAACTAGGTTAAGGTGGGTGTGTTGATCTCAGTTTTCTCAGCCCTGGTGTCTCACTGTTCCCTTATTATCCAAGACAAATGTGGTTGTCCCCTAACCCCCACCATCCCCTTAAGGCTGTCCTTATAATTTCTAGCTGAATCACCCCACCCCCCATCTCCTCCCCAGCTAGCTCTAAAAGGGAGGAAACCAGACAAAAGTAGGCAGCTGTGCTGTGATCTAGGTTTCCTTTTACAAGCAAAACCAACATCAGAGTGCTGAGGTAAGGGCTTTTCCAGGAAGGTTACATGTAGAGAACATTGATCTACTTTGAGAATGATATTGGCCATTAGCTTGGTTGTGGCGTAGGATCAAGCTCTCTCCTTACCATGGGAAGTCCAGCCCGGGATCTATCCTGATCCTGAAGCAGGACCTTCTGACTCTAGTGTGAGTGGGTGAGGAAAGTTGTGGCCGAGAAGATTACACTGCCCTGATATATTGAATTATAGGACAATTTGAATGAGAGTTCAGGAGAAACTACTTCTACGCACTTAAACTGCAAGGAAATAATTGGGCTTTAATGGTTTCAGTCTACCATGGGCGACTTTCTATGCTATTTTGGTTAGCTTTAAGCAACCTTACAAATTGCACACTTTCCCAAGCTGAGTCAGAATTTGTACTAAAATCTTAGTAAAGAGTGTTCCCTCTGCTATCTTCTGATGATCTGTGGGCCTTCCCAGTGGAAAGCACCCTGGTAGTTGGGAGACATAGTTATAGTTCTGATTCCCTCACCAACCAGCTGGGTGGCTCTGCGTGAGTCACTTAGCCTCTCTGTGCTTCTGTTAGCCCACTGCTAAGTCACAAAGAAACAACTACCATGCTTCTCTCAGAGGGATATCTTAAGGATAAATGGAAATTATAGAAAGGCTTCAACCCTTGAGTAAAAACATGTTATAATGTCCCTTTATTAGTCAATAATTATAATTTTTCTTGAATGAGATCCAAGAATCCTCTGAATTCTGCTCCTCGTGAATATTGTTAAGCCTCTCTCTGGACCTCTTCAGCATCCTGTACATACTTCTACTGCAGTGCTTGTCATACTGAATTTAAATTACCTGTGTAATTTCTCCCGTGTTAGTAACTGTGACTCATCTCTCTTTTTATCCCCATAGACTGGTATAGGGGATCAAGGCATTTTGAATTAGACTGAATTGAACAAGGTCCCCAGATATGTTTATTTAGTGTTTTTTGCAAAGACTTCCAAGCAGGAAGCTAAAGTGGAGAAAGAAGTTGGTGCTTGTGGCGAGAGGTCCCCTGCTTACCACAGAGTCTGATAAACATCTCTTTATTGTCAGACACCTACCTTTTCTTCTTAACAGTAGATTTACCACTTGGTGAATCATGATGACACCAATGATGCCCCCTAAGAACAGCCCAGCATACAGTCCCCATTGTCTTGGTACTGAAAAATAAGTGAAAGGGCAATCCACTGTGAGTGTCAAGACATCACACAGAAGTGGGGACGATGAACTTCAGCCTCATGTTCTCTTTCTACGTTCTCTCTCAACGGAGACATTTATTTTCTGGGTTTTAGAGAACAGCTTTAGATTACTGAAGATTTCCATATCTGTTTTCTTAGTCTCAGTTCTCTTACTATATTTGACTTTCATATTCTTAATTTCTGCAAAGATTTTTGTATTCAAATGCTTTACTTTTACTTCAACTACCGCATCACATATCTAAAATCAAACTTGTCTTCATGTTTCCTAACTCAACCTCTCTGCCCGGTTTCTCTCTTTGTAAATCTCTAATGTGTTCTGTATCCATTTTGGTAAAGAGAACATGATGGCTCATGTGCTGTCCCCACACTCCCCCCCACATCATTCTCATGAGACACAGAAGAAAGACCTACTTCTGTTTTTTCTAAAAATAAACATAATAGTGCTATTATTGTCCGTCCATGCAAAAACTGTTTGAACCCACTAGACCTGAACTGAAAGAAAAGCAAATAGTTTTCCTCCCAATCCTTCCCATGTTTAATATTTGCTCTAGAGTACCAGTCACCTAGGCTTAAAATCAGAGCTGATTTTTATTGTTTTCTCTCCTTTACCTACTTTACCAAATCCTTCTGATCTAGAAGCAGCACTCTGGAAAACAGTGATTGAGACCAATTGCCCCAGTAAACAAGACATTTAGCTCAAGAATATAATAACAGATGATTCTGAGCATTTACAATGGACCAGGCTTTTTTGTTTTGTTTTGTTGTAGTGCATCACGTGTATTAATGTATTTAATCCTCACAATCCTATGAGGTAGGTACTCTCATTACTCCCATTTTGTGGATAAGAAAACAGGTGTGGAGATCCTCAAGAACTAGAGCTTGGTCCAGTAGTAGAAACATGGCTGAATACTGAAGACAGACTTCTTGGAGAGTCAAAGAGAGTTATGGGCTTGGAGTAAGTTACACCAGGATAATGAACAGTGGAGGTCAACCCGAAGCACTGGGGTTCTATGTAATAATAGCATTAAGGTTCTAAATAGTATACTACCAGGTGCTGACATTAATGTGTATGGGTAACTTGTCAGGATGATTGTGGAATAAGCCTGTTATTGAACCTTTGATGAATTCGTTTGGAAGAAATTGAAAGGAGGGAATAAGTAGGTTACAAAGGAGTAGAATGTTTGCAGATACAATTCAGATGTCTACAGAGCTGGTCAAAGATAAGACTAAAGTCTCAATGAATTGATAAAAGGCATTCCACTGAGATCTAAGTGGACCTTCAGCCTGATAGCTAACCAGAAGTTGCCTCCTGATTTAAAAAAAAATCTCCCTTTTTCTTTTTAGGCCTTTCAGACATCAAGTCATCCCAAGGAATCTCACTTAACTGGCTTGAAAGTGAACATCTTGATTATAGATTCTCTTCCCCCAATTAAACATGTTTTAACTCTTCCAGATACCAACTTCAGCAGACAGTCATATGACCTGATGAAAAATCTAGGGGACAAGCAGAGTTGCAATAAGACTCCTGAATTTACATAAAGCATGAAATTTGAGCATGGAATCCCTGCTGAGGCTAGAGTTCTGTGAGCAGTTCCACTCTAAATGGCTTATGGTTGCTGAGAACCCTCCGAGCAAGTGTGTGTGTGTGTGTGTGTGTGTGTGAGAGAGAGAGAGAGAGAGAGAGAGAGAGAGATTATCCAGGGTTTATGTTGTCAATACCAGGTACCTGTGGAGAAACCTCTCACATCCTAAGAAGCAGAGGCAGCAGCCTAAGCACCACCATGTCTCCTCAGCCAATGGAGGTGACCAAAAATTGTTATAGTAGCCTTTCCTATTTTGAAAAGCTTCCTCTTTTTTTTTCCTCTCATGTATTTGGGGAACTTCTATTTAAAACAACAGTTAATTTAAGAACAAACGCTCCAACCAGTTAAATCCTTTAAGAAAGTAATGTTTCGGGCCGGCCAAGTGGCGCGATGGTTAAGAACTGGCTTGGGACTCCAGAGGGCCCTGGTTCGGATCCCACATATGAGGGCCAGTGACACTGCCCTCTACAGCTAAGATGCTGAACAACAGCTCAACCTGGAGCTGGGCTGCTGTGAGTCGCCCACGACGGCGTAGGCTGCAGCCCCTGCTGCAGTGGGTTGCCATGGGCTACTGTGTGTAGCCAGCAGCCAGCATGAGCAGCCAGCAGCCAGCGTGAGTGGCCAGCAACCGCAGTGAGCGGCCGTCCAGAAGCCGGCGACTGATCTGCCTCGCCCGGGAAGAGCGCAATGATGGTGCCAACTTGGGCCAGTGAAGCAACGTCCTCTACAACTAGACTGAAGAACAAAACTACAGCAACTTGTCTGTTCCCCTTCCCCCAATTCCCCAGCACTGTTCCCATGCCCCCAATTCCCCAATAAAAATCTTAAAAAAAGAAAGTAATGTTTCTCTCAAATGAAATTTGAGAGAAATAAAACCAGGCTGGCCAAGTGGCACAGTTGGTTAGAGCATGAGCTCTGAGCAACAGGGTCGCCAGTTTGATTCCCACATGGGCCAGTTAGCTGCGCCCAAGCTGAGTTGCTGCTGAGCTACCGCTGAGCTTGTGGAAGCGTGTACTCTTAACAAGATTGCTGGTTTGACTCACGCATGGGATGGTGGGCTGCCCCCCACCCCCCACCCTGCAACTAGATTGAAAGTGGCGACTGGACTTGGAGCTGAGCTTGCGCTCTCTACAACTAAGATTAAAGGACAACAACTTGACTTGGAGCTGATGGGTCCTGGAAAAATTCAGTGTTTCCCTTCCCCAATTCCCCAATAAAATCTTAATAAAATAAAATAAAATAAAGTAAAACCAACAAACAAAGTGGTGTCTCTAAAACTAGAAAATAACAAAACTTCCAAGTGAGACTTTCTCCTGTCCTCTGGGGCCTGTTGCTGACAGTTCTCAGGTAAACTAAGAATGACTGGGGCGTATTCCTGAGGCCCAGAAGGCATAATAACTCCAGCCCTTTCTTTTCCAGGGTCTCAGGAGGATGAAAGTCATATGCTACCCTTGTCCTATGACATAAATGACCAGCTTCTGCCAGTCCAGCCACATCTGAGAGGCAACCTGGCCATTGTCCTGAAAGAGGTTTTGCAAGCCTTAATCTTTTCCCCTAGTCTTTGGATACAAAGTAATATGAATCTATTGGAGGATTTAAGTTACAGGACCATAGACTTTCCTAACCTTAAATGAACTATAGAGCTTTTGTCACCCAACCCACTAATTTTGTGTTGTGGAAACAGACTCAGACAAGTGTACCTAGAGTCACAGGAGAAGTTGATGGAAGTTGCTGGGTGAGGTAAGAACCCTACAAAGAAAGCAACAGCAGGATGGGGTGCCTGGGAGACCTCATGCGTCAAAAGCTCTCTGAGGTGCAAACTCCTCTCTTCACCATCCTCCATCCAACCCCTGTCCATTCCTGACCCCAGGCTCTGCCCCCTCCTCTTCCCCTACTGTACCTTCAGCTGTCTACCAGGCTTTATTTGTATCCCCGTTTCATCTGATACAATGTAAGGCCCAGAGGCACTCAATATATATGTGATGAACTCAGTTAAATTAGAGGCCATAGAATGAAGCTGGGAGAAGACTGTCATGTACCTTTTTGTCAAAAATTACCAGAGTGCTAACTATACGTGTAAGAAGTTCTCAGAAGGGATGCAGTGTCACCTTCACCAGGGCAGGAGTCGAAGGAAATGAGAAATGACCTACTTGAGATATGCTTTATAATAACAACATGGAACCAGGAGGAAAGTGTATGTCTGTGCTGTCAGCACCACCTGTGTTCCCATTTTCAAACCACTATTTCCTGTGGCAGAAACTCCACCTCTCCCTATTTTGCTCAGAGGTAGAGTGAGGTCTCTCAGGATGTCGATGCTCAGAAATCAGACCGAGGTTGTTCTGTCATTCTAGGGTCCACAGGCTTCATTCTTCATTCACAAATAAACCCTACTTGAACATTCTTAAACAAGTTTGGTACATCCTCCCAGCCCCTGCCAGCCTTTTAGAGAGAGCTGAGCAGACTGATTGAGAACTCCTGTGCCATGAAGTACTTATGAAGAGTACTGCATGAGTCTCCTCCACCTTTTGGTCCTCTACTCTATTGACTGTGGTTTAAACATGATAACTTGGCATGTCGCCATGCCTCTGAGAAAATTCTAGAGGGCCTTTTTTCAGTCTCTGAAGGTCTGCTGCCACAGAAACCAAAAGCTTCTCTCTCTCTCTCCTCAAGTCCCCAAACCTTAATGTGTAAGACAGATAAAGGAGAAAACAAAAAAGAATCTGAGAAACAAATGTATTTTGCCTCAGGAGATACTGAGATGCTAATATAACGGTCTGAGAATGCCAGATCGCTTTCCTGCCTTTCATGTGGTTCTGTCAGCAAGACTGCCTGCACAATCGATGTACATCTACTTGAAGAAGTAAACCATCTTCAAGAGATATCTTCTCGTTGTTGGTAGCTTCCACTCAGAATTGGGGGTTGGGGAAGGGTGCTTACAAACCACATACTAATTTAAGATCGGGGACTATCAGAGTAAAAAGTTTTACAGAGTTCATGGCTTCCAGAAAAATCCCTTACACCTGCCTATCCCACCCAGCATTGCATTGCAGAAGCTGCCAGTTGTGCCCCCAGGGCCATTTACCCCATTCCTCTATGGACAAGTCTTGTTCAGTCACATGCCTGCCCAGCTAAGGACTACATTTCTCAGCTTCCCTTCTAACAGGTGTAGCCATGTGACAAGGACCTGGTCCATGAAAAGTGCCCAGGTTCCATCCTTCCACCATTATTGTCATGCTTGTAGGATTGGGGGTAACATGGACTGGGACCTGCCCCTGTGCATAAAACATCTAGGTGACTCTGCAGCAATGGGATCTCCCCACTTGAAAAAATGGCCTTGGTAAAAAGGGAGAACCCCGGGAGCTCACTGGCAGGTATCAGCTTTTTCTTCCACTGAGCTACCCCAGACTTGCTGAGCCAGCTTTTTTGCCAGTCTACTGAAAGTGGTCCTCTTTCCACGATGAGCTTTCAGGGGCATTTCCTTTCAGTTGGATCATTTATAGTTTTTGTGTTATTCATGCTAGCACAATGTTGGAACATAGTAGAACCTCAATAAATGTTTTGTCAAACTAAGCACAGTATTTTAAGAATTAGTAGTATTTATTTGCAAACACAAATCAATGAATTAATAAAACTCTTTTTTTCAGTAGTTAGGCAACCTGGTATATTGAAAATAGCATGCCACAAGCAAGCTGTGTGATCTGGTTTTGACATGCTGTTGTTCCCTATCCCTGGAGGCAAGGGAGGGGATCTCTACTTGTGTTATGGGTTGAATTGTGTTTCCCCAAAAGCTCATAGGTTGAAGTCCTTAGAGTGTGAGCTTATTTGGAGACAGCGTCTTTACAGAAGTAATCAAGTTAAATTGAGGTCATTAGGGTGGTGTTATGGGCTGAATTGTATTCCCCAAAATTCATATGTTGAAGTCCTAACCCCCAGTACCTCAGAATGTGACTATTTTTGCAGATAAGGTCTTAACAGAGGTGATTAAGTTCAAAAGAGGCCATTAGGGTGGGCCTGAATCTAATCTTACTGGTGTTCTTATGATAAGAGAAAATCTGGACACACAGAGAGACACCAGGGATGTGCATGCACAGAAGAAAGACCAGGTAAAGGCACAGCAAGAAGGCAGCCATTGAGAAGCCAAGGAGAAGGGCCTCAGAAAAAACCAACCTTGCTAATACCTTGATCTTGGACTTCTGGTCTCCAGAATTGTGAGAAAATAAATTTCTGTTATTTAAGCCCCACCACCCCAGTCCATGGTATTTTGTAATAGCAGCCCTAGAAAACTAATTACAGGTGGGTTCCAATCCAATATGACTGGTGTCCTTATAAGAAGGGGAAATTAGAACAGACATATGCATGGAGGGGAAGACAATGTAAAGATATATAAGAAGACAGTCATATACTAAGCCAAGGAGAGGATTCTGCGACAGATTCCTCCTCCCAGCCCTCAGAAGGAACCAACACTGCCAGTAACTTGATTGTGGGCTTCCAGCCTCTAGAATTGTGAGATAATACATTTCTATTGTTTAAGCTACCAGTTTATGGTGCTTTGTTACAACAGCCCTAGCAAACAAATACACCTCCACTTTAGTAACCCTTAATTAGCATTTCTTATTAATGTACATATCAGCTGAATCATAGAATATTGACTCTGGAAACAACTTCAGTAGCTCACCCTTTTTGTTTTACAGATGATAAGACAGAGCCCCAAGAATGCGAAATGGCTGTCCCGTGCTCGGTAGGTCCCAATGACTGGGCTGAGAACCTGAAAGGGCTTTTCCCATAGCACCATATTTGTGCTTTTCTTGTCTCTCTACAGCCCCCAGGAGCCTGCTTTATACTCAGTATATCTGGTTCATGCTACTGCATACTTGGTCCTTAAATTAGCTTACATGGGTAAGAGCATCTTCACGTTTCTTTAGTGTAACTGAAGCCAAGTGCCTGAACATACACTTTATGGCCTGTCAAGACTTTGGAATGTACTAAATAAATTCTTGTTAAACCACGTTGAGAAGCATGAAGAGAGTTCTCCCCTTTTTTTTTGAGATAGGCCAGGGTACAATATTTGGTGTCCTGCCTTCACTCTAAGAGGGCTGTGTAGTACTGATTCCTCAACCCCAAGAAAAGCAACAGCACACTTTTATTATGATTTGTAAGGTATTTTAAGTGTATTATCTCTTCCACTAACCTACGAGGATTCCAGGATCAGACAACTAAGCTCTGTCACTTGCTCTGTGTCTGATCTTTTTATATCCATATTTCCTCATCTGTAAAGTGAGGATACTAATAATACTCTGTTGCTGTGAGGATTAAGTGAGATGCCACATAACTGGCACATAGTAAACAATGAAGACCTGCCATATATTATTTTAGAGGAAGAACCTAAGTCTTAGGTTAAAGGATTTATCCTTGAAAGTAAAAAGGGCAGCACTGTATATAGGACCTCTGGGGCCACATTCTGTAAACTCTAAACTATGCAACGCTGCTTTCTTGGTCCTGCCAGCATGTTCTGAATGACTGTGGGTAGGGAGGGAATTCTGAACTGGGGGGTAGCCTCAGAATGTAGTTTGTGTGCAAGGTGGGCAAGCAGCCAGATACAAGTAGTAGGTGGGCAGATGGCTGACGCTGCCATGAATAGCTGGGGGAGGCAATAGGCAGTAGGTTAGGTTCACCAAAGAAATCTCAAATGCAGATTGGAGACCAGATGGGATTTCTCCAGCAGTCCACCTGGGAATACCTCAGGGGAGTCTCTGACGAGGTGCTATGCTAAAGGGCATAACCTGACTGGATTCCCCCATCCCCTCACCCCTAGTCATCTGGAAATCCCTCATATAAACATCAAGTCTACTGTGAGCAGGAGTCTCCTTGGAGACTCTTAGTGGATGCAGAGAGGAGGATGTTAGGGCATCAGTAATGCCTTGCAGGGCCAGCACCCTGGTCCTTCTGTCCTTTAACCTACCTGAGGCATGCACACAAAATCTGTTGGTGAAAAGAGTCAATGGTCTATCTTGTTTACAACCTCAAGTGGTTAGATGGGCATACTTAATCAGCTCTCCATTCCTTTTGATAACAGAGTAATGATGCTTTTCTTTCTGGAGAAAGGGCAGTCAAAGATCTAGGTTTTAGGTGCTGAGTCTACAATTTATAAGTCAAGAAACTTGAGGAGGGTACTTAAATGCCATGGGATTCAAGTTCTTTATCTGAGAAATGAGGATGATGATTATACTTATCTGGTAAGGTTATTGTGAGGATCAAAATAAATTATATATTGTAGTTGAAAGTGCTTTGCCAATAATAAAGTGCTATATCACTTATCATTTTTTCCAAACTTCCCAGTCCAGGCCTTAATCAAAAAGTTGACTGTGTCTTCCGACCTGCTTGCTATGGGATCCACAGTCCATTCTGTAAAATGTGGCTCTTCATTATATCCTGCGTTTCTCTGTTGAGCAAGTGTTTCATGTCTTATCTTTACAACATGTTGCTGGAGAGCAGAAAGCATGTGTCATATCTTTCTCCAATTTCCGATAGCCTAGGTAGTCAACAAATAGTTATGGATGGTGTAGTACTGTCCCACCATTAGTGGAACAGGGACAGGGGAGTCAGGACCTGCCACCTACACTTGCTTACCCAGCCACCCCTGCAGACTGGAGCCAAGGCAGGAGGTGAAAAGAAAGATCACAACATGGAGACCTGGGCTTCTGGATTTGCCTCCATCTTTTCTTAATGGTTTCCTCAACTGTGAACTGAGTATTATAATGCCACTCTGGTCATTACGCACAGACAGCACTCTGTGGATGCACGTGGGAGGCTTTTATAAACTATAGACAATGTAAAGTGTTGTTACGAAGGTGAAGGCCATGACTATGGAAGCAGAGTGATGGGTCCAGGTGGGGACTGAGCCCATATTGTTAATGTGGCACACTAGTCACCAGCAGGGCACTCACCTGGGGAATACAACTTGCAGCTGGACCATGGAATGAAGATCCCGGAGCGGTTGCTGATGGGGTTGCTCGCGGTGCAGATGTAGATATTGTTGGCATGCTGAGGGCCGAGGGTGAGGTACAGGAGGTGAGAGCTGTTGGCTGGGCTCAGCAGGTTGGCACCTGTCTCCTCGCTCCAGTTGTAAGCCACATGGTCCCCCCTTTCCACCATGCAGGCCAGCATCAAACTGCAGCTCTCATTCTCCTGAGTCCAGTTCAACACCTTAATTTCTGGAGTGGAGACCTGCTCTGTCAAGAGTGGGAGGAAGGGAGCCATTACTGAAATGAACCCTCTGGAATTCTGATTTGACTTTTTGTTAGAAGAGAATGCAGCTTACTGGCACTTCCCCTCCTGCTGTGTCTGCAGTGTGATCTGTTTCTAGTGGGGATCTGCTGCTCTGTACCACCCCTCTCTCCCCACATGCTCCTTTCTTGGATCCCTTTGGGATAAATAGAGAAGAAAAAAATTGTCTTTTAGTTCTCTCCTGCTAATTATTTTAGGGATCCTTTGCCTTTTCAGGTGTCCCTAATCTAAGTGGCTCTCTTGTATTCTATCCTTGGGTATATCCCATGGGTTTAATTGTCATTGACTAAAGTATTACATCCCAGACCTAAAATAAAGTACTCCTTAGTGGTGGGATTTCGTGTGTGTGTGTGTGTGTGTGTGTGTGTGTGTGTGTGTGTGTGTGTATGGCCAGTGCTTCAGCGTATCTGAAGTAGGGATAGCCATGGGCTTCATTAACCTATCTCACTCTAATGCTATGAAATAAGCAAGGCAAAGGGAAATGTTTTATTTATTTAGCAACTACTATAGGGATAGCACAATGCTGGAACTTTATATTTATCATGTTCTTTAATCTTCTCAAAAACTTTCTCAACAATTACAACTTTAGTTATAATTATTCCCATTTCATAGATGAGGGAACTGAGTCCAAGAGAAGTGGAGTATCGTACATAATTTTACTCAGCTTCTAAGCAGCCAAGCTGAAATTTGACCCTAGGTCTGTCTGACTCAGAAATCCAGCTTTTTTCTTTGACTTAAGAAAAATACCATAGTTGCAGAGACCATATTTTCCAAGGTGAGAATTTGATCACAAAATGTGACTAGATGTCACAAAGGCAGTGAACTGTTCTGGAAAATGCCTGATATGTAGTATCCATGCTCCTGGCAGCCTTGAGCCAAGGACCACTGTTGGAGTGACCAGGACTCCCTGGTACCTGCTGGAGGGCTGGAGGAATTCTGCATATACTGTTTGGAGGAAAGGGAATGCTAGGGGCAGGGGAAGGGTGGAAAGGGTATTGCTGTCTCTCCTGTAGTACCTGAGGATTTCAAAGAAATGCTGGCTGGGTGGGGCTACCTGATCCATCCTCAGAGATAAGGAAGCCACTGTGAAGAAGCAGACAGCCCACGTGGAGGTCAAGATCCCTGGGAATTTAAGGGAGCCTCTGGGCCTGAGAGACACAAAGAGGGTGCGTTCAAGAAGGGCTGACATTAAAGAGGGTCATTACAACACCGGCCTTGGATTCAAATGGACCTAGGTTCTAGTTTAAATTCTGCCACTAAGTGATTGTATAACCAGAGCTTTGTTTAAATGAGGAAAATGTGCCTCTTCCTCTGGAAGATGCAATCTTACGCCATGCAGGAGGGAGGGCTTGGGGAGTGGTACATGGGCTGAGTTTCAGCTCTTCTTCTCCCAGAATCCCTAGTGCAGTGAACCCTACACACAGATGTGTAGAAGCACATGCAAACCACTTCTTTGGTTTTCAGTGTCCTCATCTATGAAAGGGAGGTGGGGGCTTGATCAGTGGTATTCAAACTTTTTAAAAATCAGAAAAAAACACCCCTTTTTTCAAACAAAATCTTATTTGCAAATTGAGGCTCTTGGGGCTCCAAGTCCTCAAGCCCACAGGCAGCTGGGCCCCTTTCCTTTGGGAAATAGGGGTAAAGGTGATTAGTGCTAATCAGCTACCACCAACATGCAATTTGGACAAAAGTTCTGTGAACCTCTAAAATTTCCTACTGAAGCACAGTTTAGATGCTCCTGGACTAGGTGATCTTTCAAGTTGCTTCCAATTTTGAATGCCCTTTGCTTGTGAGACAGGTCTAAGTTCTTAGGCAAGGGACCATCTCAGCCCTCCAATGTGGACTTGGGAAGCCACCATTCTTACCATAGAGCTTCAGCTGCAGGCAAAAGTGCTGGACTGAAACCTGTTCCTCCACGGTCATAAAGTACCAGCCCTCATCTTCCTTCTTGCTTTCCAGGATCACCAGGCTCAGGTTTTCCAGATGAAATTTATAGCCATCTTCCAGGTGGCGTAGAGAGCCTTCTTTTGGCAAATCAAGAGATACGAGTTTAATTTTGCGGTTGCTTTCTGGTAATTTTCCCTTGGTGACAGTGATGTGGATGCTCTTGTTCATACTCTTACTTGCCGCTTCAGATGTCAGGGGTAGCAGCACACTGCTTCCCAACTGCCCATGGACCATCGGGCAATTATAGCCCTTGCCTGTGAAAGGAAGAAGACAGTCTCTTATCATGGGGCCTTTGAGTAACACATCCGATTTTGTCTGTGGACCAGGAATAATACACTGGATACTCTCCCTCTTCCTCTTGGGCCATCCCTGGGCTTGCCAGGCCTTAGTGGTCTATAAGGACTGTCATGAGGGTCCTAATGTACTCTCAATATTTCTAAAATCCCAATGGGATTCTTTTTTTTTTTTTAAGATTTTATTGGGGAATTGGGGGAGGGGAACAGACAAGTTCCTGTCCTTTTGTTCTTCAGTCTAGTTGTGGAGAACGTCGCTTCACTGGCCCATGTTGGTATTGTGATCATTGCACTCTTCCCGGGTGTGAGGCAGTCGCTCTTCAGCCATTGGACAGCCGCTCATGGCGGCTCACGGCAGCTCATGGCAGCTCACGAAAGCTCACGCCAGCTGCCGGCCAGCCCCACTGCAGCCTATGCCGCTGCCGGCGACTCACAGCAGCCCAGCTCCAGGATGAGCTGTTGTTCACCATCTTAGCTGTAGAGGGCGCAGCGTCACTGGCCCTCATGTGGGATCTGAACCAGGGCCCTGCTGCTCAGAGCTGGCATTCCAAGCCAACTCCAGTGCGCCACTCGGCTGGCCCCCCAATGAAATTCTTAAAGTTACTTATTATAGAGCTGTGTAGAGTAGGACACTGGGTTTCTTTTATCTAGGAGGGAATTCTATCAACTCAGATTTATAGTTAAAGCACCTAAGGCATAGGGAAGTTAATTAAATGACTTCCCTAAAGTCATGTAACTAGTAACTGGACTAGAATCCAGGTCTGTTACTTCCTCGACCAGACTTCTTACCACTATATACTATAAAGGATAGAGAGCAAATGCTGAGCTAGTGAGCCCAGGAGACCAAGGTTACAGCAGCATGATTTTAGACAATGAGGGAAGAGAAAAGTCTGAAGGATGTGGAATCAGCTAGGTTTTGAGCCCAGTGTTCAAACTATGGAATCCTAGTCCTGCAAAAGACTGTAAGATAGTTAGTGAATAATGTTGAGGGTGGAAATTATTTTATTTTTATTTTTCAAAAAAGCTGAGCCAACAACAATAACCCAAAAAAACCTCAAAACCTTTCAAACCACCAGTAAGGGATCCTACTGCTGACTATTTAACACCTCCTCTCTCCCCAAACCCACAACTTCAGCTGATGACCGTGCATCTCATTTCTCTGAAGAAGTAGAAGAAACGAAAAGAGAACTTCCATTAATTATCACCACCAAATCAACCTACCTATTTGGATGGGTCATCTATGCTCCCATCTAAGGCTGGTCTCCTCCTCATGGACCACTCACCTACTTCAAGGCTTTGCTCCTGCAGTTGCCCACACCTTGCATCATCAGCTTTATTACGGTATGGTATGTTGTGGGTTTTTTCCAACATGGAATTTTCTTCACCTTAAAAACCCTTCCCCTAACCCCAGCTCTATCCCCATTTCTCTGTTTTCCCTGTCACAAAGTCCCTTTAGGAGTGTTATACTTTCTGTCCATTACCTAACCCACTTTCCTTGCACTCACTCTGAACAGGCACTGTTCCCTCCTGCTCCCTGGAACCACTCTTGTCAAGGTCACGATACCAACTCCACTCTCCATCCTGATCTTGCTGTCTCAGGAGTATGTGGCATGGTTCATCACTTCCTCTTTGAAACCCTGTCTTCATTTGAACCCTAGAGCACTACACTTTTCTGGTTTTCTTTCAATTTTCTTAATGACTCCTTGACTGGAACCTTCTGCTCTTAGACTCCTTAACTATTGCAGCATCCCAAAACCCAATACTCAGACCTCTTCTCTTTCCCAGTCACACTCATTCAGTTGCATAGTTCAACATATTTTTGGAATGCTTACAGAGATATCTGTCCCACCCAAACCCTTCACTGTACCTCTTCAGTGTTTGGAGGCCTAAAGGGCATCTCTAACTTAGCAAATGAACTCTTAATTCCATAAGCCCTTCTGCAAACAACATCACAATTTCCCCAAATTCTCATGCCAAAACACTGGAATTATCTTTGACCCCTTTCTAACTCATACTCCACACTCAAAATATCAGTAAATTCTGTTGACTGTGCCTTCAGAATCTGTCTAGCATCCAAGCACTTTGACCTTGTTCGTTTCTACCACCATCATCACGGGCCAGGGCACTGCCATTGTCTTCCAACTAATCTTCTGTATCCATACAGTGGACAGGGTATGGATAGATAAAATTCAGGTTTTGTTTCTCTCACTTTTAAACTTCCAGGCTTTCTAGCACCCACAGAATAAAAGTCCGTAGTCCTTGTTCTGGATTCAGAGGTTGAATAAGCCAGTATCTTGTACCTCCGAGTCCATGTCCTGCCCTCTCTCTGCTCTCTGCACTATGGCCACACTGGCTCTGCCTGCTCCCTCACTCATCAGAAACATTCCTAGTCCAGAGCGTTTGTATTTGAGGTTCTCTTTCTCTCTCTCTCTGTCTCTTTCTCTCTCCCTCCCTCCCTCCCTCCCTCTCCATTTCTTCCTCTTTTTCTCCCTCCTTCACTTCCTCTCTGTTTCTCTCCCTCCTTTCCTTCTTTCCTCTCTCCCCTCTTCTCCCTCTCCCCCCCCCTTTCTCTCTCTGGAAATCTCTCCCTTTACATATCTGAATAGGGCATTCCCTCACTTTATTTTAGGTTTCTGCTCAAAAACTGATCTGTGAGACCAGCTCTCACCATTTTATCTAAAATAACATTCCCTTTATTGTTTACTTATCACTGTCTGATGTTATATTTTATTTTATTATTTTTGTCTCCCCCACTGGAATGCAAACTCCTCAAGAGAAAGAATTTCATTTTATTCACTATTTTGTCCTTAGGACCTACAACAATGGTTGGCTTTTAATGAATATTTGTTCAATTTATGAATGCTGCAATCCATGTTACCTGACTAAAATCTCTCTTATTTAGTTTTGCCCAATATATAACTGAACTTAATAACTGAACTTAACCATAACTAATGTTCATAAAAGAAGGAGCACATGACTCAGAGAGAGCATAGATTATTCTTGTTGATAAGCAAGTCAGAAGAGAAAAATAAAACTGTCTGCTTATGTAATGGAGCCACCTAGAAAAGCACAATTAACTTGTGGTTAAAATGGGTTATTGGAAAACTGGGCAAACTGGCCAAATATCCTTGATACCAAAATACCCTGAAATATTAATGCTGTCCTATAAAAGACCCAACTAATATCAGACTAGAGATTCAGAGATTAGAGAGAAAGAAAACAAAGCAAAACAGCCTACCTAGGCTAACATCAGGGTTAGAGTGGTTGAGACACAATTATTATGGAAAAGTGAGAAAGGCAGTTAGGCATTTGTTCTTTTAAATATTGCTAATATACCAACAACCCTGAAAACAGAGTGCTCTCCTTGTTGCTTAATTGATTAGATGAGGAATGCTGGTGTTGGTGGTTTTACAAAGATAATTTGGGGAGCATGTTGGAATTTCTTCCAGCCACATTAATGGATGTCTGACCGTTCAGATAATGTGGTAGGTACAGTACCCAAGAGAGTAACCTCTTACATCCTGAATTTAAACTTCTATATATAAAAGGATGGCAGAAAATTAGATTCATACATGCAAGTAGAAATGTTTTGTGGAACACAACTCCCATGAAATTGTACATAAAAAGTTGTTAGATAAGCATATGAACATTTTTCTGGGAGCATATCCATAAATGTCACTTCTCACAGGGGTCTGAGGCTCAAAACGAGATTAAGAATCATTATCACACTATCGATATTTTAGACCAATTTTGATATAGAGAAAAAAGAAATGGAAACGATTCCACTCTCACATCATAACCTTCCCTCTCCTATATGTCTCCCATGTGCCCCGTCCCCCTCCTAACCCAATACCCATGCACGGTTGTTGATGGGGAGGGGGTGAAGAGGAGATATAGGATGAGAGAGGGAGTAGCAAAAATAAAATAAATAAATAAATAAAAAGAAAAAAGAAAAGAAAGAAAATAAGAGGGGAAAGAGGAAAATGAAAGAGGTGGCAGATGAGAAAGACAGGCTGAGTGGTTTGTGTACACTCAGCCATGGGAGTGGAATCAAAATTTGGTTAGGAAGAGACCCTCACACACCATAACCACATAAGAATGATGATGTAACAACTGAGTGTGTGTGAATGGCTGGGGGACTTGAAATCATTGCCAACTAAGCACAAGTGGAAAAATCAGTAGGGACTTTAAAGTGGTTCACAAAGCCCTTCAAGTGGAGTCCCTGCTCCTGAAACGTGTCGCTGCCTGATGACTGTTTTCCAGTGGGTCTGTGATTCAGTCACCCCTGTTTACTAAAAGGGCCTGGAGGGAACATTTGAAGCTGTTAACACCAACTCACTTTCCTTCCAGGGCAATTCTACTTGGAAAATAGAGTGATTCACATGGGCCCATGGATGTTTTCCTGAAATCAGTAGCATTTAACCAACCCTTTCACAAGATGGGATTCTACCTAATGATAGTACCGCACTCCCCCCTCCCCCAATCTTTCACATGTGCTTGTAGTATCTTGCTATAGCATTTCTTTTGGGTAGAGAAGAGGCAGGACTTACAGGCCTCACAGTTCTTATGGCAAAGAAAGAAAAGATAACTTGATCTAAGGCTGCTTTTAAAATTGTAGTCCCACCAACCGTCCTCCTGTTCCCATTCTTTGATGCAGCTGTGTCCTTCTGTCTTAGAGTAGTTGCACTCACCATGTCCCAGCCTAAAAGCCTGCTACTGCCCTTCATTTGCCTGACTAGCACCTTCCATCCTGCAGGTCTCTGCCTCTGACCCCCAGCTGAGATGAGGTTTCCCTGCCATGTGCTTCCAGGGCACTCTGCATCTCTCCGTATCACTCATCACACTTTTAACTCTGGCTCAGTGTCAGTCATCCTCACTCAATTATAAGCTTCCAAGAGTAGAGACTGTGACTATTGTGTTCACTACTGTAATTGTAACACTCACCTGGGACATAGTAGGAACTCAACAAATCCTTGTTACTCAAGAGAATGAAACAGCTGAATGAGATAAATGAACGACTAAATGAACAAATGACAACAAAGTTCAAGTTCTCCTCTCTCCAAAATCATAATATACTCTGCTTTACCTTTATAACATCCCTAAGAGATATAATATGGAGGGAAATGATGGGGACCCTTCTCCCCACTTGCCAGATGAGGAGATGGAAGCGCCTTAGCTATGAACCTTAGGTTTCAGGCACAACAGACCATGTACCATTTCCTCTGAACACTCACAACACTTCGCCTCTGCATTTGTGCCTTCATCAAGTCCTCTTATAAAGTCCTATAAAAACCCAACCTACCAGATGTATATATTTGGAAGGACATGCAAGGAACTGGTAACAGTAGTTTCCTCCAGCAAGGGGTATGGAGGGGAGATTTGTTTCCATTCTATACCCTTTTGTATTGTTGAAGTTTTATAGATATACATGTGACACTCTTCTAGTCAACAAACAGCTAACAAAAAATTAAATGAAAACTTACATGATGAAAAGAAGTTTCCATTCACTTTCCAAATTCCAGATCGAATGCCCTGTATTTCCTTCTACGGTTTTATCAACTTCTCTCATCTTTCGAGAATTCCTATACTTCAGTTCATCTCAACTCAGTTAAAATCAACTCATATGCTTCAATTATAGGTAGCATATTCCAATTTTTACCTTGGGACCTTGATACAAATTGTAGCATACCCTCCTCTCTAAACATAAGCTCATCCAGTTTTATTCATTGAGGCCACTGGAGTCAGGCTGTGTGCCTGCAGAGAAACTGCTAAACTACCCTGTGCCTCTCTTATAACATTATAATGGTAGCAATAGTTAACACATAACTTATAGGGTTGGCATGAGAATTAAATGAATAATACACATAAAACACTTAGAACAGTGCCTGGTATATAGTAAGCATACTGTACATACTATTATTATTCATTCAACAAACAATCGTAGAAGAGCTCTCATGTACCAGACAGTGTGTCAGGTGACGGGCAGAGGCTGTGCTTGTTCATTTTGCTTCCCCCACACCTCACACAGTACCTGCCACATCATGTGTCCTTAATAGGTATCTGCTGAATGGGACTGTCCAAGGTCAACCTATGGATAAAACCAAATAGCCCTGATGTTCTGATTTCCATTCCAGCACTGGAGACAGTAATTGTGATGGCATCATACCACAGTATTAAAGCTTTTGAGAAATAGAAGTGCCTAGATTTACATCTTGGGATAAAATGGGCCAGTAAGCACACAAGGTTGGGTCAAGTCTAAAACCCACACACTTACTTGTCCTTTGCCTCTCCCCCACATGTGTAAAGTAGGTGGGGAGGACCTGCATGAAAGAATAAAAAATTCAATTGGGGTAAACTCACCCATTGTAACAAATGTGCCTCTGTGTGTGTGTCGGGGGGGGGGAGTGCTGATAACAGGGGAAGCCATGCATGTGTGGGGATAAGGGCAAGTCTTTGTACCTTCCCCTCAATTTTGCTGTGAACCCAAAACTGCTCTAAAACTAATTCTATTTAAAAAATAATGCCATTGCAGAAATGGAGTATTCACTATATTGAGGGAAGGAACATGTGGACTTTTGATTTTTACAATTCTGACTGGAAATTGGGAGGTGAGCTGACGAAGCAGAAGAAGGGGAGGGGGTACTGATTTTACAAGAATTGGGCTTCTTGGTTGGGTAAATCTGTCAATCTGTCAAGGCTGACCTGTCCCACTTGCAAAGCATTTCTGTCTGGGTTTTATTAGGGCTTCACAAAAGGGTGTGTATTTAAAAATAGAAACACTAAACATTTTGTACATATTTCAGAGAAGATGGAACGCAAGGAAGGAAGCTGCTGGTGATTGGGAGGCCAGGCCTACGGGGCTGGGCTGTTTCTCACTAATTAGTGACCTCCGAGCCTTCCGCCTTGCCTTCGAGTGGAACAGCTGTCAGCAGCACCTGAAACACCGTGGGCCAGGAGGCAAGCAAGCACAGAGACGGCAAAGCCCAGCTCACTGTTTAAACCCATCACTCCTGATAGTCACTAAGAAGTAGTCCAAAAATGGGAGAGGGACAAATTAGGTGTACCCAGGGAGGCTTGGCTCTCTCTGTGATGGCGTAAAGTGGTTCACCTTGGCTTTCTGAGCCCTGAGCTCAATTATTACTCTTCTAGACATCAGGCATCAAGAACCATGGGTCTGCCTGATTCTGAAGAAAAGTGGGACCAGGAAGGACCTTTTCACCTGGGAGTCTGGCAAAAGATAGACCTCATGTGCAACCCCTCCGACATCCCTAGCATATCTCTGGGCGTTTCCTGGAAAAGTCCATAATGGATTTGCGGTTTTGAAAACCCCAACGCAAAACACCGGAACCTCAGGATTTCCCCCGTTCCCAAATGCCGCTTGGGCTCCAGGCTGCCTCCCACAGTCTAACCAAAGTCCCAAGGCATTTAAGCAGAAAAAAGATTCTCACTCTAGTTCACAGTGAGCCCAAGGTCCATTTCTTGCTTGGCTTTTTCTTTCTCAAATACCTTTTTCATAGCCCTGATACTTCTAAACAGAGAACATCAGGTTGCCTTTGGAGGAAGACAAGAAAGACAGGAGCGGAGCCCAGCTCCGAATATTCTGTTGTGTGGCTTGCTTTACACTGAAACTGCCCTGACTTTGAGGGTTCCCCGTTTGCATTTCCCACTTACTGTAACCAGCCCTGGGCTCTAGAAATCCTGGTCTCTCTCCCTCTTGGAACCTTCCCTTCCAGGAAAGTAGCCACCAGTATGACCACACTGTGACCACTGTGTGTTCTCAACTGAAAGCCTGGGATTTTCATTTCCACCCTCTCTTCCTACCACAGCCCTTCCTTGTTCTTGGACCCTGTTTCTGCTTTGTCAGCTTGTGTGTGTAAGGATCCCCTTCCAGGGCAGGAGCGTAGTCGTCATCTTCTCCCAGAACTCCATCCCTCCAGCTCAGTCCCTTAGCTTAGGACTTTGCCAGAAGGATACCCACACAAAACCAAGCACTCAACCAGAACTGACCAGAGCCTCTCACTCTGGAGAGCCTGATCTAGAATGTGACCAGTGCCTTTGGCTCAGAGCTCCTGGTTTCCTTGGAAACAAGGTTGGTGGCGCTGTACCTTGGAACCCAGGGGCTCAGGAACTCACAATGTTCCTCTTTTGTTTGAAAGAGGCAGGCAAAACTCAGAGCCGGTCCTGAAGAAAAAGGAAGCTCAACCACAGACCCCAGCTCCTGCGTCTTCTCTCCATCCATGGGGCTAATCTCCCCTCCGTTGCAAGTAATCGTGAGACTCAAACACACGAACACTCACCTGTTCCGCAGCTCAGTTCAAAAGCCAGTGAGAGAAGCAGCAGGAAGTTCAAGGAGAGGAACCCCTTGGGATCCATCAGCCAGTGAGGAGAGGAAAGGGAGCTGGTGAGAAGCCGGGCAGCTTCTTGACTCAACAGCAGACTCTGTATTAAGCAGTGCTGCCTCTGCTGTCTAGTTTATGCATAAGGAACCAGCAGGCTTCCTGTCTTAGGGGACTTTTTTTGCTTGAAGATTGCTCATCTCCTTTCAGGCCTTAAATCACGTTGTTATTCCCAAGAAGTTCGAGTCAGGCGCTTAGGCTACTAGAGCCGGGAAGGGAACTGTGTGGTCACCTCCGCCAAACCCTGGCTGTGAGCAAGAATGTGTTCCCCTCCTCCCTTTGTTAGCTGTCTCCAGGAAAGGGGCACCAAATTCTCTGGGCGGTTTCATCTAGCAACTTGTCTTACAGTGCAAAGGAAAGATGAAGTTTTGTCAGATCAACCCCAAATTTGGGTCAGTCAGTTCAATTTAGAACTTGGATGACTAAACATTAATGAGCTGATGTACCTCTTATTTTTTATTTTTTATTTTTTATTTTTAATTTCAGACAACATCTCTACATGCAGTCAGGTCTGGGTGCCAAAGTCACAGAGAAATGGGTGGGCAAGTGCAGCTCCGTTGTGAGAAACCCAATTTCCCTGCTGGGTAAAATGTGGTAGGGTTTAGTGAGCCCTGTGCTATGTTTGGAGGATACACCTTTATTTTTGATGTTTTGCCTAAATTTTTGTTGAGGAAATGGACTGGAATTGACAGAAGAAATGTCATGTACTTTTCCATGAGTTTTTCTATAAGAATGAAACACTGAAAAGATGTTAATACCAGAGCTCAAAGGAGACTTTGAAAAACCAGGCTAGTGTTTTTAAAGTCCATTTTAACAGGTCAAAGGCACTCTCCAAAGGGTATCCTTAAGGAGATTAGGGTAATAAGAGAAACAAAGACTTTCTTAGACAAAAATTGAGGGCATTTGTTGCCAGTGATTCTGCCTTGCAAGAAATGTTAAAATAAGTTTCTTAGGGAGAAGGAAAATAATATAGGTCAGAAATTCAGACCTATATAAAGAAAGAAAAAGCATCAGAGGAGGAATAAGTAAAGGTAAATAAAAATTTTCATTTTTCTTACTCTTAATTGATCTATCAGATAACACATTGTTCAAAGTAATAATAGCAATAAGTATTCAATTCTACGTGATTATGTATATATATGCTTGTATATAAGGAAATGAATGACAGCAGTGATACAAGGGACACAGGAGAGTGGAATTAGGATTATTTGTTATCATAAAGTACTCATACTAACCATGATGCTGTTTAGTGTTATTTGAAAGTGTGCTTGGATTAGTTGTAAATGTATTGCAAAATCTAGGGCAATCACTAAAAAAAGGTTTTTTTAAATATATAACTGATATACTAAGAAAGGAGAGAAAATCAAATTACATAAAATGCTAAATTAAAACCACTAATGGCAGCAATAAAGTGGAAGGCAATATAGCAACAAAGAGCAAGAGTAACAAATAGAAAATAGTAACAAATATGATAAATATTAATTCAACTATATCAACAATCACTTTGAATATTAATGGTCTAAAATAATTTATTAAAAGATAGAGATTAGCAGAGTGAATTAAAAACCAAGATCAATTATATGTTGTCTACATGAAACCCACTTTAAATATAAAGATAAATATAGATTAAAAGTAAATAGACAGAGAAAGGAAAAACATGCTAACACTAATCAAAAGAAAACAGAGGAGCTATATTAATTTCAGACAGAGCAAAGGAAGGAAAGTTATCAGAGAGAAAGAGGGATATTGCCTAATAACAAAGTGGTCAACTCTTCAAGAAAACATAATCCTTAACATGTATGTGCCTAACAACAGGGCTTGAAATACATGAGGCCACACCTGATAGAACTGTAAGAAGAAATAGATAAATCTACTATTATAATTAGAGACTTCAACACCTCTCTATCAGAAATGGACAGATTCAACAGACAGAAAATCAGTAAGGACACAGTGGAACTCAACACCACTACCATTCAACTGGGTAGACTATAGACTACTTCATCCAACAACAGCAGAATACACATTTTTCTCAAGTTCACATGGAACATTCACCAACATAGACCACCTTCTAGACTATAAAACACACCCTAACAAATTTAAAAGAATAGAAATCATACAATGTCTACTCTCAGACCACAATGGAATTAAACTAAAAATCAATAACAGAAAAATAACTGGAAACCCCAAAATATATGGAGATTAAACAACACACTTCTAAATAACATGTGGGTCAAAGAAAAAAGTCTCAAGAGAAATTTTAAAATATTTTGAACAAAATGAAAATACAACTTAAAATTTGTGGGATGTAGCAAAAGTAGTGCTTACAGGGAAATTTATAGCATTAAATGCATATATTGGAAAAGAAGAAAGACCAAAAATCAATAATCTAAACTTCCACTTTAGGAAACTAGAAAAAGAAGAGCAAAGTAAGCAGAAAAAAAGAAACAATCAAAACAAGAGCAGAATGCAACGAAATTAAAAACAGGAAATCAATAGGGAAAATCAATGAAACCAAAGCCAACAAAATTGATAAACCTCTAGCCAGGCTAAATTATAAAAAAAGACAGAGGACACAAATTACTAATATCAGAAATGAAAGAGGAAACATTGCTATCAAGCCTGTGAACATTCAAAGGATAATAAAGGAATACTATGAAAAATTTTATGCCCACAAATTTGATAACCTAGATAAAACGGAGCAACTCCTTGAAAGACACAATCTGCCAAAACTCACACAAGATGAAATATACAATCTGAATAGGCATATATCTATTAAATAACTTGAATCCATAATTAATAATCTTAATAGGTAACAATAAAATAATTAATAATATTAATAATTAATAATCAAATCAGAAAACACTAGTTCCAGCTGGGCTTACTGGTGCAGTCTACCAATCCTCCAAGGAAGAAATTCTCTACAATTTCTCTCAGAAGATTGAAGTAAAGAGAATTCTTCCTAACTCATTCTATTCCATATCCTAACTCACTATGATACCAGAACCAGATAAAGATATTATAAGAAATAAAACCACACACCAATATTTCTCATGAACATAGATTCAAAAATCCTCAACAAAATATACCAAATAGAATCCAACAACGTATAAAGAGAATTATACACTACGACCAAGTAAGATTTATCTCAAGTATGCAAGTCTGGTTCAACATTTGAAAATTAAGTAATCCATCATGTCAACAGGCTAAAGAAGGAGAAACACGATCACATTAATAGATGCAGAAAAAGCATTTGATGAAATCAAACACTTATTCATGATTAAAAGAAAAGTCCTGGCCAACTAGCCTTAACTTGATTAAGAATATCTTCAAAAACATCCAGTTAAGCCAACAAAGTTTGTGGTCATTTGTTATGGCAGCTACAGGAAACTAATACAAGACTTGAGGGGCAAGGTGACTAATCTGAGGTTTACAGTTATTATACCCAGTATATAAAGCTGCTTTTGTCAGCTAGAAGAGCAGACTTTGACAGACCAACAACAGAAGATAAGCAGGTGATAATGCCTTGTATTTACAAAGTCATTTTAAAAAGACTTCACATTCACTATCTTATTTGATTTTTAGAACAGCTCAATGAATGAGGCAGAGCTGGTTGTGGTGGAAGGCAAGGCCTGGACTAAATTTGGGAGCCCTGACTCAGTCGAGATTTCTTTCTATTTCCCTGGAGTGTACTTGTTACTCCCATGAATACTCAAGAGGGTAAGGAGGAAGAAAATCCCATTAATCAAACTGCCTAGATACCTGGGGCTTCCATGTGCATTATTCCATTAATCTCTGTAACAGTAAAAAGCAAGCTTAATGATCACTATTTTATAGATTGAGGTACAAAGCTGCCACATCACTTTTCTAATGGTTCAGAGCCAAAAAATGGAAGGTTTGGATTCAAATCCTGCATTATATGACTCCACAGTCTGTACTCGATACACTCACCATACCACTTCTATTACACTGGGCAGGAAGCGTCACCAGTCTTCAGGCTCTTGTTGGTCAATAGCCCGTTATCCATGAAACGTTCCCTCTGGCACAGACACAAGCATAGGCAACAGGAGAATCCTGGGTGAGCAGTATTTCCTGCCCCTCACCTCCATCATCTGTGACAAACACCACTCCCTTCCCTACAGCTATACGGAACCCCACCCTGAGGTCAAGGAGGACCACATGTCTATGGAAAGCAGCCTTCCCCAAACAATCTCAAGTGGGCTGCATAATGAGGCCATCTCTTACTCTTAAACAAGAGGGTGTAACATCCCCCTAAGACTTGCTACTCTTTTTCCTTACACTTTATGGCAAGAAGTGGCAAAGTGTCCTGCCTGAAGGTGCCTGGGGCTGGGCTGCCCCTGAGCGTCCTGGCTTCCCAACCAATGACTGTCCTCATCACAGCCTCTGACCATTGGTTCCTATAACATGAGCCAGCCCCACAGGGAAGGGTCACTGAGAGGAAGGCCAGACCACCTGGCCACTTGGAGCCCATGATGAGCACATTTATCTGGATTAAAAAACAACAAAAAAATAAACAAACAAACAAAAAACCCCACACACAAAAAAATGAAAATACAAAATTTCCCCTAACGCTGAAACATCTCCTAGGAGACCTGATCATGAGCACAGAGCCTAAAATTGGTCTGGGGAAAGCACTGGGAAAAATACCCTGGGGTCAGCCCTGCTGGGTAAGATGAGGAAGTCCACAGGGACAGGTGTCTGATACAGGGGCTGAGCAGACTAGTCAACCAGTTAGCCTTGTTGTGGGATGAGTTTGTAGGGGTTGAGGGGAGAAAAGAAAACTAGGCTATGAAGTGGCTCTAGCTCAGACTTAGGTCCAGGTTGTACTCAACACTTTTACCCAGCATCACGCCAGCCAGGCACCTTCATGAATACATGAATGTGAGTAACCCAGGCCCAGGGAGGGGAACTGGGGGCACACATGGCCCAGCGTGGCCTGTGAAGATGCCCACTGGCAGCGCTTTCCCTTCACCAAGTTTCCCACCTCAGTGCTTCCTCCAGGGTGCAGATC